TGCTCCTCATGTGGCTTCACCTCTAGACCTTTCCCCATCCTCATGTCCCTCCTCTGGGCTCTCTAATAGCTTTGTATCCTTAGCAACATGACTCATTGCTAATAGGCTGCAGTAAATGGAAGCTTTTGGCAGTTAAAGGAGATGTGAGCAGTGGTTTGCAGCTGCTTGGTAGGCACAGCTGTTCCCACTACTGGAGCTCTGTGGGTGCTGGGGTGGATGCTCAGCTCCTTCCCCAGCACTCTGATGCTTCTGGAGCACATCAGGGCCTGAACTCCTGCAGGAAAGTAACAGGCACCTGAAAAGAAACCTCAGGCTCCTTTAGAAAGCATCCAGTCATTGAAGTGGTGCCTGGGGACGAGGCAGCAGGGTGGGCAGCTGTGTTTGGGGCTGGGTTGTGTGGGTGCAGCTGGGGGGATGACTCTGCTCCGGAGCTCTCGGGATCTCCTCACGCTCTTAAGCACAGCTCAGTGTGTCTGAAAGGGCAAGAGAGATGAATTAGCACAGACTGATGTTTTCTGGTTAACATCCTAGACAAAGCCAGGCAGGGCTGCCGAGGGCTGTTGGATCCTGGGAGTGTAAGGTCTCATTTCATTAAATCACTGCAGGTCAGGACAATGTCTGTGCATTGCTTCAGCCTCATGGGAGCAGCCACAGGGCCAACATCAGTGCAGTGTGCTCAGGGTGTGCTCAGCAGTGCTGTGGGGGACACAGCACCAGTGCAGCTCCTGGGGATGTGTGTGCCCTGAGCTGGCTGCACAGTCAGATATCAGCCTGTTTGACTGAACAGCCTCCTGGGCTGGGCAGCTCTTCCAGCCCTGCAGGAGCTGTGGCTGTGGCAGGGACCAGGGATGTGCTGCCAGGGGCACAGCACAGTGGGAACTCCCCTAGGTGGCTGAATGGCATGAGGTGTCCTTTGGTGGGGTTTGCCCACACCAAGTTATGGCATTTATTGCCTCAAACCCAAAACTGACTCTTTAAGCCTGGCAAATTGTCATTACCTGTACTGTCTGTACAGCTCAAATGGGCAACAAACAGATCTTTCTTGCATTTCTTTCACCAAAAGATGAAATAATTTTTTACTCTGAAATCATACAGTGAAAGCTGTACCCCAGGAGGTCACCTGAGAGCTGTCTCCTTTTCCCTGGCACTGGGTTCCCAGTGACATGGTCCCAGCCTGGGAGTCAAGGCTGCTCTGCTTCCTGCATCCCAGCTTCCCAAATGCACCATTTCTGGGGGCCTGTCACCAATAAAATTAAGACTGTGGGTTTGCTTCACAGCTTGTCTGTAGAATCCTCAATTTCTGCCCCAGGATAGAGAAACCTCATTGTGGCACAGCTTGGTTTAGACACTTAATGTTGTGCAGATCCCAAATGAAATGCTCCCAGCACTGCCTTCCACATCCCTCTGATGCTTAATAGTTCCTTTGAAGTTTGGAGTGGTGCAGAATCATGGAATCCCAGACTGGTTTGGGTTGGAAGGACCTTAAAGCTCATTCCATTCCACCCCCTGCCAGTCAGTGACACCTTCCCCTAGCCCAGGTTGCTCCAAGCCCTGTCCAACCTGGCCTGGAACACTCCCAGGGATGGGGCAGCCCCAGCTGCTCTGGGAAACCTGTGCCATTTTACCTGTGCTTGCCCTTGTTCTGTCAGCTCATGTTTAGTACCAACACTTCCCTGCAAGGACCAGCCATGCACACCTGAGGCTGAAGACCCTGTGGTTTGGTGATCAGCACCTGTCCCACCAATGCCATTGCCCCTGCTAGGACAGCTCAGTGCCACATGTCACCTGTAGCAGGTGACACTGCCTCTCCTGGAAAACCATCAGCTGTGAGAAGCACTTGGGTTATCATATTCATTTTCTTACCAGCAAAGCATCTTGCTGTTAGTATTACCATCTCAGACAAGGAGTGGTAAAACCCTGTTTGAACCATGATTCCCTGTGTCTGTCTGACACAAAAGAGCCATTACTTGGGAATTCAGGTCCCTGAAGGACTGTGTGCTCCTTGCACAAAGCAAGGAAATCAAATTAAAACTACATCTTGCCCTGCCCACAGGACGAGCAGAATGGAGTTGGATCCTGGGTGCAGTGTGGTATTTGGGTTGGAAGGACCTTAAAGCTCATCTCATTCCATCCCCTGCCCTTGGCAGGGACACCTCCCACCAGACTGGGTTGCTCAAGGCTTTATCCAAGCTGGCTTTGAACACATCCTAAAGGTCACTCTGAACTTTGCAAAATCCAGGAGGGTTTTGGTTTGTTTCTCTTCAGCAGAAGTTTAAGTCTAAAGGAAATCTTGGCCTGCTGAGCTGGGCCTGCTCATCTCTAGCCTTTAGCACGGCTTGGGAAAGATGAATTGCCAAATTCAGGGGGGTTGTGAGGAAATTCACCAGAAACCTGGTTTTGTCATGGAAAACATGAGAAGATAAGAAGATTGAGGCACCTCCCTACGAAGACAGGCCAAGGAAGATGGGGCTGTGCAGCCTGGAGAGGAGAAGGTTGTGTGGAGAGCTCAGAGCAACCTGCCAGGAGCTGAAGGGGCTCCAGGGAAGCTGCAGAGACTCTTGGTTAGGAACTGCAGGGACAGGACAAGGAGCAATGGGGAGAAATGGAAAGAGGGAAATTTAGATACCAAGAAAGTTTTTGCTGTGGAGTGGTGAGACACTGGCACAGGTTGCCCAGGGAGGCTAAAGCCTTGAGCAACCTGGTGTGGTGGGAGGTGTCCCTGCCCAGGGCAGGGGGTTGGCATTGTATGATCTCTGTGCTCCATTCCAACCCCCTAGCACACTGTGAATCTATGAACAGACTGTCTCTGGCAGTATGTGAGAGGAGCAGGGCAGCTAGTCTGGCTGAGAGGAGCTATTGCTCAGGGCCAGGAGCTCAGGGCCAGGAGCAGTAATCCTTGGAGGCATTGAGGATGGAGCTGGTCCCTTCCACTGCTGTTCATTAGAAATTTAGCGATGGAACAAATCTGACATCAGCCTCAAGAGGGGATTTCCAGCACAGCCCTGGCTCCATGATATCAGGCAGGTCTTGACTGATCCTTGGAATGCTCTGAGAGTTTTGACGTGGTCGCTGGCAGGTCACCACTCGCAAAAGGAAGAGGTGTAGGGGCCAGTTATGTTCAGGAAGGAAGCTATGGCTGAAAGCATGAACCTTCTGGAGTTCAGCCCATGCAGGCTAAGCCCCAGTGTGCCCCAGCTCAAGTGCTGAGCCAGGGCTTGGTGCATCTGGCTTTTCTCCTGGCATGGAGAGTGCTCAGGGGGCTACGAGTACCCCAGGTTTGCCATGTGACACTGTGTAAAGATGGAGCCTGCTCTTGTTTTTGATTCTCTGCTTTAATTATATTTGCTTTTTCTCTTTTTATTTCAGTTGTGATCCCAAAGAGCCCTTTACCTGCCTCCGAAGTAAACTCGGAGAAACCTAACATTCACAGTAGCACAAAGACTGGTTTGGGGCAGCAACAAGGGCAAAGGCGTCGCAAAACAGGGAAGAAGCGTGGTCGAACGACCAAAGCACTAATCCACCACCCCATGCCTGCACCCTCCAAGTCAGTGGAGCCTTTGAAATTCCCCAGAAAGAGAGGCCCCAAGCCTGGCAGTAAGGTAAAAGCTGATGCTGATGCAGGCGGGTGGACAGCAGGTGCTGCAGGTCCTGCCCTGGGATGGTGCATGCGTGTGTTGGTGCACGTCTGGCTCAGCCTCTGGCTGTGTGACTGCAGCAAGTAGGAGCCCAGAGGGTCTGTGGGCTGGGAGCACTCCTCGAAGTGCAGAGCTGTAGAGAATGTCTGTGTCCTAAAGATCATTTCCATCAAGAAGCTGTGTCTTTGGAGCTGCAGTGGCTGTGGAGCAGCGTGGCAGGTGCTGTGGGAGCATGACAGGGTGGCCAAGAGGTAGAATAAGTTCTCTTGTGCATCATGTGTGGCTAGTCTGAGGCAAGCAGAGGTGGGAGATCTCAGGCTTGTTATTTGTCAGGATTGTGGTTTGTAAAATACACACAGATTGATTGCTAGGTTCTTGAGACACCTCATCATCCCCATCAGCAGTGTGTCATGTTCCACAGTGCCTTGTCTGTTGGATGCAGAGGAGAGAGTGTAGTGATCATGAGTGGGGCAGGAAAGCAGGGATAAAAGGAGAAATATCTCCTCTTTTTCTGCAGAGGAAACCTAGGACATTGCTGAATCCAGCACCCACCTCTCCAACAACCAGTACCCCAGAGCCAGACACAAGCACTGTGCCCCAGGACGCTGCTACAATCCCCAGCTCTGCCATGCAGGCTCCCACAGGTAAGGGTCCTGGGCATCATTCTCAACAGGATTGCACAGTTAGGCACTGCAGCAGGCAGACAGCAACCCCCTGAGAGAGCCCCACTTCTTCCTAAACTTGAAAACCAGCAATCCTTACAGTTCCAGAAGGGCTGGCCTGAGAGAGTGAGTGTCAGGAGGATGAGAGGCACGAGTCCAGATCAGCTGTTTGTGGATCTCTCGGTCCATTTGGCAATAATGAAGCCAGAGGAAGATTCCAAGCCCACCTGTGAGGTGCAGGGACCCGTTTCCCCAGGTTCTCATCTGCATGCTGGTGACTCCACAGCTCTCCAGGGACACCTCTCGTGGCCCTTTGTGCCCAGAGGCAGTCAGGTATTGTTGAGCCCTGAGCATGAGCTCTCCAGCCTGTGCTGGGCACAGCTGCTGGAGCTGCACAAGGGGCAGAGCAGGTGCTGAGGACCAGTGGCAGTGATGTGTTCAGCTCCAGCCAGGATGTCGAGGCACACAGGGACAGGAGGGAGCAGGGGTGCAGAGTACATGCACTGCTCCAGCTGTGAGTGCAACTGTGGCTGAATCTGGCCAGGAAAATCTAACTCAAAGCTGCTTTTGACATGTTGAGTCAAGCACTGGATATGGGCTGAGCCCTCTGTTTCCCCAGAAAAGAATTGGCCAGTTTTCAGAGGAACCTAAAGAGCGCTAAAAAGGGAATGTGTTCCTTCATCCCCTCTGAACATCTCAGCCACCTTACCTGGCCTGCATGGGAAGCACCTTGCAGCCTGGCTGCAGGGGAAAGCATGGGCCAAACAGCAGCAGCTTGGAAGGTGAGGCAGGAAGATGTTGGAGGTGGTTCCCCTCCAGCAGTGGCTCTGCTGTGAGGCTGCAGACTTGTGGTGGATTCCCCTTTGGGAGCGATGGCACAGTCTTAAAACTTCAGCATCTTTCAGGTTGGATTTTAGGCATCTGTTTCTTGCTTCCTCGAGTGGGTTAATGGCAAACACATTTCTCATCTTGGCAGTTTGCATTTACTTGAACAAGAATGGCAGCACTGGGCCCCACCTAGACAAGAAGAAGATTCAGCAGCTGCCAGACCATTTTGGACCAGCTCGAGCTTCTGTTGTTCTGCAGCAAGCAGTCCAGGCCTGCATTGATTGTGCTTACCATCAGAAAACAGTCTTCTCCTTCTTAAAACAAGGCCACGGGGGAGAGGTCATCTCAGGTGAGAACGAGCCCACGAGCACTTTGTCTTCAGAGAGCTCCTTGCAAGAATTCTCTCCTTGGAAGATGCATGTCCTGCAGCTTGATGCAGCCACGGGCCAGGGGCAGACACAGGAGTTCTGTCTTCTCTTTCTGGCCACATCTGTGCCAGTGAAGGAACAGCTGGAGGCTGAGTCAGAGCAGAGCAGTTCCCATGGCCTCGGGCACAGCTGCTGGGGCAGGCGAGGCACAGCCCTGGGTGCTGTCCTGCCTCCCCAGCCCTGGGAGCATGCACAGCTTAAAGGGTTTATTCTCCTTTAAGCCCACGTGTGGCCGGATCACGCGTTCCAGCCCCTTCTGCATCCATCCTGGGCGCAGCAGGCTGGTCCCTGCCTGCCCCGGGGAGCGAGTGCCAGCAGGAGGCTCTGCCCTCCTTGGCTCAGCCTGGCCCAGCCATGCCTCGATGCAGGAGCTGCCCTGGGCGTAGCCTCCCGCCCTGGCTGAGCTGGGGGTTCACGTGTTGGGCTCTGTTTGTTTCTGTCTCCAGCTGTGTTCGATCGGGAACAGCACACTCTGAACCTGCCAGCAGTAAACAGTATCACCTACGTCCTTCGCTTCCTGGAGAAGCTGTGCCACAATCTGCGCAGTGACAACCTCTTTGGGAACCAACCCTTCAGCCACCACAGCCCCATGCAGCGCTCACACCAGTACGACCACGACAGGTATCTACCAGGTAGGAGCTG